GTCAATGACATGAGACAAAGTATATGTGAACTGCTGTATGAAAAGTGAATTTACTCTGTAAATCTTCACCCAAATCCTAATTAAAAAAAAAAACCCTAAGGAAATGAAACAACTATTCAGCCTTTCAGTAGTTACTAAATTTCATTCACAGCCAATATTAAGTACTCATGGCAAGTGCTAGGGATCCTGTTTGTTATGCTAGACATCTGTTCATTCAGGAAATGTCAGATACTGTGAAAAAAACTAAGTAAGCCTTTACAATGTTGTTGTTGTTATGTGCCTTCGACTCAGACCTGACTTACAGCAACCCCTCCTTGGGTTTCCAAGGTGCTATCACTACAGAAGTAGATTGCCCAAGCTTCCTTCCGAGGAGTGGCTGGTGGATTTGAACCGCCAGCCTTCTGGTTAGCAGTCAAAGCCTTTACAATACAGTGTTGACAATACTCCTGACAAACAAAGGCCCAGTTTCCCTATTCTCCATGTATCATCCTCAATGCCAGGGAAATAGTATTCTTTCAACAAACTCTTGCTCTAAGAGCACACCACCATGTATCTGTCAGTCAGTCTGTTGTACTCTGGTGGCTTGTGGGTTCCTATGATGTGGGAAGCTGTGCCACCATACTTCAAATACAAATAGGGTCTCACATGGTGAAAAGGTTTCAGTGGAGCTTGCAGACTAAGACAAATAGGTCAAAAGGATGTGGCAGGCCACTTCTGAAAATCTGGCCACTGAAACCTTATGAATGGTGAGGTAATCAGACTATATAGTCTGATACAGTGCCAACAGATGAGCCCCTCAAGCTGGAAGGCACTCAGAATATGACTCGGGAAGAGAGCTGTGTCTTCAAAGTAAGTCAACCTTGATGTGGAGGGAGTCAAGCTTCCAGGGCTTTCATCTGCTGATCTGACACAACTCAAAATGAGAAAAACAGCTGCAAGTATCCATTAATAATCAGAATGTACAAGGATGTATGAGTCTAGGAAAATTGGAACTTGTCGACAAACAAAATGAAACACACGAAGATTGATATCCTAGGTATTAGCTGACATGGAGACTAGTATTGGCCATTTTGAATCAGACAATCATATGGTTGTCTATGCAAGAAATGGACAAATTGAAGAGGAATGGTGTTGCATTCATTGTCAAAAAGAACATTTCAAGATCTATCCTGAAGTACAATGCTGTCAGGGAGAGGATAATATCCACATGCCTACAAGGAAGACCCGTTAGTACTGCAATTATTCAAACTTGCACACCAACCACTAAAGCCAAAGACAAGGAAATTAAAGATTTCTTACCAACTTCGGCAGTTTGAAATTGACCAAACATGCAATCAAGATGTGTTGATAATTGGCAATTGGAATGCGAAAGTGTGAGACAAAGGCTCGGTAGTTGGAAAATAAGGGCTCGGTAACAGAAAGGACGCTGGAGACCACATGAAGTTTTGTAAGACCAATGAGGTCTTCAATGCAAATACTTTTTTTCAGCAACATAAATGGTGACTATACATGTGGACCTCACCAGATGTTATTATACACAAGAATCAAATGGACTACATCTGTAGAAAGAGACAATGGAGAAGCTCAATATCATCAGTCAGAACAAGGCCAGGAGCTGACTGTGGAACAGATCATCATCAACTGCTCATATGCAAGTTCACGTTGAAGCTGAAAAAACAAGACCCTTCTGAAGAGGCAAAATACCACCTTGATTATATCCCACTTGAATTTTAGAGAACATCTGAAGAACAGGTGTGAAGCACTGAACATCAGTGACTGAAGACCAGACAAGTTGTGTGGCATCAAGAACATTATACATGAAGAAAGAAAAAGGTCATTAAAAAGACAGGAAATGAAGACAAGACCAAAACTGATGTCAGAAGAGACTCTGAAACTTGCTCTTCAAGGGGCAGTTTCTAAAATGAATAGAAGAAATGATAAATGAGCTAAACAGATTTCAAAGGATGGCTCAAGAAGATAAATGTGCAAAGACCTTGGAGTTATAAAACCGAAAGGGACAAACACACTTGGCAATTCTCAAGCTGAAAGAACTGAAGAAAACATTCAAGCCTTGAGTTGCAATACTGAAAGATGCTATGGGCAAAATACTGATAGATGCAGGAAGCATCAAAAGATGACAGTCACTGTACCAAAAAGAACTGGTCGAAAGATTACCAGTGGTTACCGGGGGTGGGAGGGAGGAAGGGAAAGGGGAAGCTTTCGTTTGCAGGCCACTGAGTTTATGATAATGGTGGTGGAATATTTTGGAAAAAGATAGCAATAATGGTGACACAACATGAAAAATGTTATCAGTGTCCCTAAGCTGTAAGTGGGTAAGTTGTTAGGTTGGCACGTCTTGTGCATTTTCACCACAAAAAAAAAAAAAAAACTGGTCAATATCCAACTATTTCAGTATATGATTAAGAAGCGATGGTAGTAAAGGAAGTCCAAGCTGCACTGAAGGCGCTGGCGAAAAACCAAGGTTC